AAAAATCACGTAAATTATATACAAAAAAATCACAACCAACACACCACGAAAATTGCCGAAGGTTGTTGTTTTGAGTGTGAGTGTCTTTGTTACGTGGAGGAGGGAAAGGTATAACTATTATACTGCCATTTGATTGTACTATCAGCTTTTTTTTCATCATTTTGTGCTTTAACTGATTCCATATTTGTTGTAAAGAACGGTGGGCATGATGTTGCAGCCCAACCCATGTCCCATGTTAGTCCATCACCATAAAAGTCTAAAAAACTTTCTTCAAGTGAAAAACTATTTCTGTCTCAGTCACTGAATTCCCACTACAAATTAGTTGTGTGACACAAACTTAGCCAACGTTATTTGCAATATTTGTTAATTTTACCACAATGAAATAGATATATTTTTTTAGGCTTAAATGTTTACTTCGTCTCCATTTTAAGAGGTGAATTTTTGTTTAGTACCTAATTAAAAATGAAGATCATGGATCCCTTGTATGAAAAATATCTGAATAAGGGTCCACAAAGAAGAAAAGAACAAGTTCAATAAATCATCAAAGAAAAAAATGAACAAAAGATAAGAAAAAGTAGACAGCAGAAAAGAGTAAAGAGAAAAAATACGGCCACATCAGCATGGACTTAACATTGTTGCTGTCAACTTAACAGACAAGACCTTATTCATACACTTTTCATAAAATCGGGACCTAATATTTTTATTTTTAAAACCGAATATTAAACAAAAATTTACGTGTTAACATGATAATGAAATAAGCATTTAACCCTATTTTTTAAATCAGATTACAGGACGGAGAAGTTATAGACGTTGATGTGGGTGGAAATCAAAGTGATTTGACAAAATGGCCTAAAAAGTTAGCATGGAGGATGCCCTATGCCGCCAGACTTTGTTCACACAACATCGCAACCATAGTTTGTTAAGCTACTTTAACACAAATTATGGCATTAAATTGGGTTGCAATGTTAAAGTTAGTTGAAGGGACATGATCAACTAAAAGACAAATAAACTTATCATGTCAATATTATTCTAACTTCATTTATGGATAATACTCTATCTTTTTAATTGGGTATAAAAATTTGGGGGAGAATATATATATATTTACTATCATCTCGTACTAATCTTTTCGTCTTCATTTAAATTATTAAAATATCTATAATTTATAAAATAATATAGTAAAAACATACGTGTATATATATTTTAACATCTTTTCATTTATTAAGTAATATAAAAAAATATTCTTTATTTTTTTATTGTTTATTTTATTTGAAAACTACTTTTAGTTTGTTAAAATAATTTTTATTATCTGAATAGGTAGTCAAAAAATGTTTTCTTATATTTCTAACATATTTTTCATTTTGTCATATTTTTAATTATATATTTGTTTATTTTATCTAATTATGTATATTGTTTATAAGACACATATTTAATTTTTTTTTAATATTTTTATTTTTTGTTTATTCTTTATATAATTATTTTATTTTCTAATTCATTATTATGAATGTAATTATATCACTATACTTGTATAAAAAAATTATTTATTATAATATAATAATTTAATGTCATTTTATGAGTCTTGTTTATTATCTTTCAACATATATTAAAGCTCAAAAATAAAGAATCGTGTTAAAGTTTAATTATATTAGTTATTTTTGTTTTTTGTGGCGGTGTATTTTATGTGCAGAGTATGTAGTAAAAATGATTTCATTAAAATTTAAAAAATGAGAGAAAAGACATTAAGATATTTTTAAAGTTAAGTATGTTTTTTTTTAACTGTTTAAGTATATTTTTAAAATTGATCAAAACTTGGTTTCATTAATGTTGACAATTAAGAAATATTTTGGTTCTCAAATTTAGATATTTAATTTGAAATATATATAATTATAATTTGTTTTCAAATATTTAATATTGAAGAAAAATCAAAATACTTTCCTTAGATATCAAAAATATCTATTAGATATATCATATATATATATATATATATATATATATATATAACACATCGGAATTGAGTTCAAGTTGGATATGAAAATGATTTTTTTTAAATGAGTATAAGATACAAAAACCCGTCCTATTCCATCCATTATCATCCTATCATATTTTTTATTTAGTTGTACAAAGTTCAAATTAGCAACTCTAATGGATGTGTTCTTATTGAATAAGGGTTAAATATGTTTTTAGTCCCTAAACTATTGACCGTTATTGACCGTTTCTGGTTTTCGTCCCTCTTCCAAAGTAAGGTACAATTTAGTCCTCAATCTTTAAAAAACGTTCGTTTTAGTCGAAAAAACGAACGTTTTGAGGACTAAAACGAGGACTAAAAACAAAATTTTGAGGACTAAAACGAAAGTTTTTCTAAAGAATGAGGACCAAATTGTACCTTAGGGACGAAAACCAGAAACGGCCAATAGTTTAGGAACTAAAAACATATTTAACCCATTGAATAATGAAGATGCTTTTAACGTTGTTTCAAATAAATTCTTCATGAAAGACTAGATATGTTTTTATTAGCTTTCGTAAATAAGATAATATTGTTTTGGTTTCTAATATATAATTTTTTTTTCATTTAAGGAAATATAGTATATATAGTTTTGGTTTTTATAAATAACGATAAAAGTGTGAATTCTTTTTAAATTTAAAGGAAATTATTTTTAAGAATAAAAAACAAATATATTTCTCTTTACAGAATTTGAATTAACTTAAAATAACATTATAGTCATTGAAGGTCTACTGATATGGATTGGTTTAATAGATTAAAGAATTATGCTACTATCTCTTGCTCACCCAAAAGAAACACTTTGTTATGAATCTGAGAAAATCTGCGCACATATATTATTTGATGGAGCCCTTGCAGATATTTCTCATGTTCTTCTGACACGGTGTCTCAGTAACGGTAATGTTAGCATTTTTTTTTTCTCAATTTTTATTTTAATTGATACATTTTGATTGTTAATTTAATTATGAATAGTTAATTACATTATCTTTTTGTAGAAATTAAGGTGTATACCGATAAACATTGGTCCGTGTCATCGTCATCATCATCTTCTTCTGTTTCAGAGTGTGGTGGTGACCACACAATGTCAACTCTGTGTTCTGCACTTCCACCGTCATCGTCACCCTCCATAGCAAACTTCATCTCTGACCACCCATGCCTCACCATGCTCCAAAACCAATGCTTCAACATGAAAGACCTCCAAAAGATACACCCCCACATCATCAAAACTGGCCTTGCTCTTGACCACATTGCTGCAAGCCGTGTTCTCACTTTCTGTGCCTCTTCATATGGTGACATCAATTATGCTTACTTGGTCTTCACCAGGATTCCAAACCCAAATCTTTATTGTTGGAACACAATCATCAGAGGCTTCTCTCGGAGCCCGACCCCTCAGTTTGCAATTTCTCTTTTTGTTGATATGTTGTATTCTGCTGTTGAACCCCAACGGCTCACTTACCCTTCTGTTTTCAAGGCTTATGCTCAATTGGGTGCTGGCCATGATGGAGCTCAGCTTCATGGAAGGGTTGTAAAATTGGGTCTTGAAAAAGACCAGTTTATTAGTAATACTATCTTGCACATGTATGCTAATAGTGGGCTGATGAGTGAGGCTAGAAGGGTGTTTGATGAACTTTTGGAACTTGACGTGGTAGCTTGCAATTCGATGATTATGGGGCTTGCTAAGTGTGGGGAAGTTGATAAATCTAGGAGGCTGTTTGATAATATGCCTACAAGAACAGCAGTTACTTGGAATTGTATGATTAGTGGATATGTAAGGAATGGGAGGCTAATGGAGGCATTGGAGCTTTTCCGCAAGATGCAGGAAGAAAGGGTTGAGCCTAGTGAATTTACAATGGTGAGCTTGTTAAGTGCTTGTGCTCATTTGGGAGCACTTCGACATGGGGAATGGGTTCATGATTATATAAGGAGGTGTAATTTTGAGTTGAATGTCATTGTTCTCACTGCAATAATTGACATGTACTGCAAGTGTGGATCTATTGAAAAGGCTATTGAAGTGTTTGAGGCATCACCCACAAGAGGATTATCGTGTTGGAACTCCATCATAATAGGACTAGCCATGAATGGTCACGAGAGAGAAGCCATCGAGTACTTCTCTAAGCTTGAATCCTCAAATTTAAAGCCAGACTGTGTCAGTTTCGTTGGTGTTTTAACTGCTTGCAAATATCTAGGAGCAGTAGAAAAAGCAAGGGACTATTTTACCCTCATGATCGATAAGTATGAGATTGAGCCATCAATAAAACACTACACTTGCATGGTCGAAGTGCTTGGTCATGCTGCGCTCCTAGAAGAAGCAGAAGAACTAATAAAGGGTATCTCTATAGAGGCAGATTTTATTATATGGGGATCTTTGCTTTCATCTTGTAGGAAGCATGGGAATGTAGAAATTGCAAAACGAGCTGCACAAAGAGTTTTTGAGTTAAATCCGAGGGAAGCCAGTGGCTATTTACTTATGTCCAATGTTCAGGCTGCATCCAACCAATTTGAAGAGGCATTGGAGCACAGAATTTTGATGAAGGAAAGATTAGTAGAGAAGGAACCAGGATGCAGTTCAATAGAACTACATGGAGAGGTTCATGAGTTCTTGGCAGGGGGAAGCCTACACCCCAAAGTTCGAGAAATTTACTCTCTACTGAATAACTCTGGTTTTGCACTTCAAGATTGAATATCTCCGAAGTGATGAATTTGTGAAATTTAAAAACCAAGCTGTATGCAAGGAAATAGCTTTGATGCAAAGAAGAGTTACAATACAATGTATGAGAATCTCACAATCGAACCGAACATCCAGTTTGCTTGTCAATACCCGGGGATTTATAGTTTGATCAGGGGAAAAAAGTGCCTATATTTCATTATTGTTATACTATGTCTTCCCAAATTATTCCAGTCATATTTGGTTATTTTGATTACAATAGTGATTTGTTTTTTCTTCAGCAATTAGAATACCGGTGTCTGTTAGTACTTGTACAAATTTGAATATAGGTCTGTCTGCAACGCTGACCTAAGCATAAGGTGATCCGAATCCTTATTTTAGGTCTCCAGAAAAAGGAAAGTTATTCAGTATTAATACTTATTCAACTTTTACTGTTACCTGGTTTAGTCTAGTGGTATCTAAAGTAATTTTTTTTTCCGTTGGTGATGGGGGTTTGAACCTGCTAGACTTGCTATTCTTAATTTCTGTGCTTCATGCATGTTTTTGCTTCGAAGTTCTGAAACCAAATTCAGCAGTAAAAAGTATTAACTCTGAAAAGTAGATCTTATTGTATTGAAAATCATAACACTCACTAATCTGCTAAAATAATTGTATTGTTAAACAGTAGAAGAAGCATTAAGCATATGATCTTGTTAAGCACCATCAAGCTTAGAAGACCCCTTGCTTGTACAAGATCCTGAAAATATAATACCTACACTACGGTGCATTGTATGGATGTAAGACAACAACTGACCAAGAGTGTGGTAGGTTTCAGGTTTTTGACAAGTTCCGCCCTGGTGCCCAAGAGTATATCTCTTGGGGCATTGTACCATTCATGAGCAGGTTCTGTGGCATTGCATACAAGTCAGAGATGTCAAGATGGTGGGTGCGTCCATTTTGGTAATGCTGATTCTGCATTGCAGCAGAGAGTTCATCATCTTCCAAAGGCAGACGATCGAAAGTAGCATGCATGAATGATGCAGCCATGATTACAAGAGGGCCTGATGCAATCAAAGCACCAACCACAGCACCTCCCACAACTTGCCCTTGAGCACCTGCCAAGTAAATTGTGAGGCCTGTGATCCCTGGAGGGGCTGGTGGGGGAAGGATTGACCCCAGCAGGGACAGAATCTCAAACCTACCATGAAGGGTCACAATGGCACCTGATGACCCTGGTTGGCGCAGTGTTACATTTGTTACACAGCCTGTTCCATTGAGTATATAAAGGCCACGTTGCTTTCTCCTTGCAAAGTTCAATAAACATTCATTCACATCACAGCCTGAACTCACTTCCATGGCATGAGCCTTCAGTGCATTGGCTCTTTCTCTGGTGACAATTATTGGTGGTTTAGGCTTGTTTTTTGAGCCGGCTGGCCGTCCACGTGGCCGCCTTAAGGTGTCCCCCTCTGCTGCAGAAGAAACAGGTGAAACTGCTTTTGGGACTTTTGGAGTTATTACAGTGACATCAATGCCAGACATGTTTGAGTTCCCCTTGTCTTGTTCTTGCTTTCTATCCATTTCACCAAACAGAGGACACTTTGAGGCAAATGTGAATTAACAAAGAGGAAATCGCTCTCTTCTGCTTCATAGAAAAGCTTAAGTAGTTGAATTATGAGAATAAATTTTATAGGACCCCAAAAGAATGATTGTTTTGTAGGAAGGAGTTAAGTAATACCAACCAACAAAAAATTGTTGTTTTATGCATTACTCTGCCTAATTCTGACTAACTTGGCTCATGTCAATTGCCTTCCTCAACAGATATATCTTGCCATATATATAATTATTACACTTTACTTCTCAATCTTACCCACCTACACCATCTTTCTCGCATATGACTGTGCTTTTTCTTTATCAAACTCTCTACACTTTTTCTGTTACGTAGCAGAACACTAGAAGCATGGTTGGAAGCTTGCAAGTATAGTCTGTTTTTAAAATATATCTGACAAAAATTACTCCAAAAACTAGTCGCTAGATAATAGCTGATATATGCGTAGCATTGGATAGTTATAAGTTGTAAAATTAGTTTATTAAATTACAAATTTTGATACGATAATTAGTTGAAGTAACTTATAAATATAAAATAGGTTTAATAGGTTCGGAAGTCCCTATATTTGCAGGTTCGTTTCACTTGGGTCCTCCAATTTTAGAAGTGATCAATTAGGTCCCTAATTTAACAAAATTGAGTCAATAATACCCTTTCCGTTAAATGCAAGGGAATCTGAATGCAAATTAAACAGGTGGCATGCTGAGACATCATTTTATTTGCAGGTGGCAGAGTTTGAGCTTAATACGTGACAATTTCTGCAATTTTTAATTTGCATTCAGATTCCCTTGCATTTAACGGAAAGGGTATTATTGACTCAATTTTGTTAAATTAGGGACCTAATTGATTACTTTTAAAATTGGAGGACACAAGTGAAACGAACCCGCAAATATAGGGACCTCTGAACCTATTAAACCTATAAAATAATAATAAACTCATACTGCAGCGTTCCATAAGCAAAGGGTGCCAAACATCGTTTTATGATGTCAAAGTTGTTCACTCTGTAGATTTTTTTTTAGTTGACATGAATGTATGGTTCTAGATTGTCTCTGTAATTACCCTGTTAGGTGATACTGAAATACGATATGATGAAATGTAAACAAAATGTCAAAAAAATAAGAGACTTTCAAATTTGGTATTTCTTTTACTGTTCTTTTAATGTAAATTAAATTAATAGACATTGATTTTATGTTTTAAAATATATTAACATCGATGTATATTTTAATGTTCAGTAAAGGACAATATCTAAAATCTAACACTCGACTCGAGTTTTCCAGGTCTGTGAAATATTTTTTCATATGAATCTATAATAGCCCTTTTTATTGTTTAACATTGATGAGTTTTTGCCCTTTGAAGTTGTGGAGCAATATGAACACCTTAGCTAGCAATAAATACTTCAGTAGAATATTATAATATGTTTTTTTTAGTAGCATGAAAAGTTAAATGTGAAATAAAAGCAATTATTTTCAAACATGTTTTAGAATAAGGTAATGAAAAAAATTGGAAACAAATAAAGATATAATAAAAAGTTTCCTTAAAAATATTTTTCTAATAACTTATATTTAAAGCATACATGGGTATCGGCTTTCTCATTCCACTATAACAACTTTTAGAAATTATTTTCCTGTTTCAGGTTTCCAATCACCAAAGAGTTGACAAGAGAGATTATTTACGCATAGAATTTTCTCATAATTGAAGAAAATTTCAAAATTTGGGATATTCAATATCGTTTCTGAACTTGATTTCTTAGCATAAAAAAATCATAGAAAAAAAATAGAGACGTCACAATCTAATATATCATATTAATAAACTAATAAAGATCCGTTAGATTTTAATCTTTAATAATAACTTGTGTCTTAAGACAAGAAAATCCTCTCTTAATAAATTTGGTTGATATAATAACTATAAAAGTGTTTACATTTATTTATGATTTATAATCTAAGTATCACAAAAGAAGATCCAAAAACATTGGGTATGTAACAGACGTGAAAATTTAATTATTGCATACACGAACTCCTTGTCCAAATAGTTTGGAAAAATAAATAAAACTTTACAAAATATCTTTTAAAAGCTAAAACCTATTTTGCAAGTGTGTTCCAAGCCTTAGATCTTCCCTTTGAGTTCCAAGTTTCATGGAACAAGAGTTTAAAAAAAAATTGTTCTTTTAAGTTTTCAGTAATTCACCTTGTCATAAATTTTTTAAATTTTAAGAATTCCTTCCAAAGTTCTTCTTCTATTGAATTAAAAGATAGTTCTCGATCAATAATAACCTTGTTTGATCTACCTTTCCTTATCATTTTCACTTGTATAAATATAAGTCAATATTTTCAACCATATAAGTCCAGGCCCATTTTTGAAAAAAAAAAGAATGAATAGAATACTTGGAGTTCTTAGCTAAATCCTGTTTTAGTCACGTAGTAAATAGTAATAAATTGGATTGATTAGAAGTAATGATAAATTAACAAAGGCCAATCATGAGTAGATCAGTTTACTTGAACATTTTCTAGTTGTTTTTCCTTTACAACAGTTATAAAGAGCATGACCGGTACAGAAATCAAAGATCCTCGTAATCTCGTATCGGGACATGTGCATATATAGTTTACCACCGTTTCCAAGAAGAACTATTTTATTTTAAATCAAGAAAATATCATGCAGTTCAAACCTCTTTCACTGTTGTCACAACACTCACTGTAAATTTGCATCATCTTAGTTAAAATTCCTTTCTCATCTCTCTCATCGTCATATGATTTCACCCTCATCAGTCGTAAGTAACCACAACAGCAGAATAATAACCTTATGAACTATATGTAGCTGAAAATGGAAAATGAACTCAATTCAAATTCCAACTGTTTGGTCTTCATGATTAATAGTGACATAATTCCAATATGGTTGGTTGACAATGGCTTCGGACTATATATGTTGCAATATAGAAAATGAAGTCTTAAACCCATCAAAACGACTTGGCATGCATGTCAAGATTACTCTTGCTGACCTCATGGGAACTGTGTAATTCAAACATCTCTTCTAAAAGGCCAGAACAGTATACGAGACTTCCACTACTGTAGAGTGTACCATGTTTGCAATCTCATCCTGTGAATGGAGCGACTGTTTCTGGTACTGAAACCTGAGACAATCATCAGCCCACAAAGATAACTTTGGTGTTAGCTCATCCCTCATTATTATTTGGTCAAAAACTAAAAGTGTGTGATGCACGTCATGACCAACCATTTGAAATCAGTTGTCCATACGCATGAAATACGGATACTCAGTGAATAGAAGCATTTCCTTTACTTGCACCAACACTTGTGAAAATTGAAAAGCATAATATCGCGGGTGCCCCATTATTACTCTTACTTTGTAATCCTAGTTCTATTGGTTTCCTGATGTGATGTCATACCTCAATGTAAAAGAATACACAATTTGGAATTTTGTGGTACTCCGTTCTGAATAATATTTGACAATTTTCTTGCATCAAAAGGTACTCGGAGATGGGAGAAAAAGGGACTGTACATCTGAATGACTACCATTAAACATCTTGGATTTGGTAGGTTTGTGTGCAAGTTAATTAGTGATAATAGTTAAGCATGCCATACTTCAAACTAATATGTTTTAAATATCATGAAAGGGACATTTCAGATGCAAGAAAACTGCTGAAGGTGCTAGCATAATTAGTACATTAGTTCACAGAAATTTGTGCAGTCTAGTTATGAATACGTTTTTTGTTCTGTACATTTTCTGCAATTGAAAGGTTTTGGTTACAATTCTATAAAGCAATTAGTTTAAAACTCGTGGTGACAACAACGCCTTTTTTAACAATTCGGGTATGCAAATTTAGGATTGTAGGATTCATCACGATAATAGTCTTCGAAAATCAGCAGCTAAAACAATAGCAGTAATACCAAAACAAATGGTTCGGTCAGTTAGTGATTAATAAATGAGTTAATTTGTCATCTATTCATAGCAGTTGACAAGTGATTAAAAGAATAATTTACCAAAACATATATATACATGTGTATGTGTGTGTATGTACGTACTTATATGTAACTGTCTCATTAGACTCATATATGACATCACTAGGTTGCCAACTCCTGCAAGGTAAGTGATGCTGCATTACCTTACACAACATTTCATGGAATCCTCCAAAAATACTTCATTATTACGTTCATTTATGAGACAGATTAAGGTTAGAAAAGTTTGAAACAATGGACAAGAAACTACACTACGCTATTCTTAGTTCCTTACTCCTTTGGAAAATTTCTCAATCTGCTGTTCCTCCATGATCAATCATATGATCGCAATTTGGAAAGAATAATGCTAAATGAAGATAACAACACCTCTTCATTTTAATAAACTAATAACAAGCATCTCGGATGTACCTTTCCTGTTTCCACATTAACTGATACAAGAAAAATTTTGCAAACCTTTTTCTTCCAATGAAGTTAGTTCTGACCTGGATGTAGAAGATGTGTTAAGCAAAACAAAATTTTTCAGATCCTCAGTTCTGCCTCCTTGGTTCTTCTAATTCTGAGATTGAAAATTGAAAAGATGTTGCATTACTTTTCTTCATTATTTTCTTGTAATACGAATATTCATAATAATTCAAAATCACTAGATAGAACCTCCTCTAAATTGATTTTCATAGTTAAATCTCCATAGGAGACAATAAGAATTACGCTTTGATAGATCAAAGAGTTGTACCTCTTCCTAATTCCATGGATGGTCTCAAGGAGTTCGATTGTTTGTTGCAACCTGGAATTATTTGGTCTCTCTTCATTAACAAGTAGCAAGGTTGAGACGTTCAAAACAGTAACTAGTTCAGCTTCAATTTCACTGAGCTTTTTGTCTATCCGTTCCATGAAATCCTCATACGAGGATATTTCTGACAAGTTTCTGGCTATACTGTCTTCATTTGAAATTCCTACACTAACGGATTCCTGAAGATTCTGAATCTCCTTAACATCCAGTGAATTTCCTTCACTTTCGATAGACAGTTGCACATCTTGAATATTGTCGAAGTCCATCGTTTCAGGATCTAAGTTATGTCTTGTCGTACTGAAATCATTTTGAACTTCCTCCTTTGGAGCAACAATTCGAACTGGACTTGAAGCATCTTTTGTTATGTCTTCAATGTTCACATTAACATTTCCAATTAGCTGACTTTCTTTCAAAGATATTGCCTGAAACTACCATAGGTTTCTTTCATTATCCAGTTAATAAAAAAATCAACATTTTAAGTAAAAGCAACATTCACAAGAGATCAAGAGAAAGAATAAACATTATAAAAGGACGCAAACCAAAAAAATAATTTGAAATACATGAGTTATTCAGCAATAACAGTCTGAGTTGACAGGTAAAGTTATGCTTATCAGTCAGTACTAGTGCATACAATAATATAGATTTAAGAAAAGAAATTGAGACCATCACTAAAGGTAATCACTATTTATTTAGTTTTTAATTTTTCTTGCATAAAGGTTATAAGTAATCTACTACATGGTCTAAAAATCCTAATTACCAAATGAGAATATATGAAACCCAGTTACATGATTTATCATCTTATGAGTTTTGTAGCAATGTTATACTTTAATGTATTTTGAACTAGTAAATAAATGCATTTGTACAAACTATACAACTCTACACAAACATTACATCGGACTTTCCTGTGGAACTCTCCATTTTCAGACTAAGAAAAACCACAGAAAAAAATATGCTTTTCAATAATTTCGTGACAGGTAAATTCAAAAGCAGTCTGGTTTTTTTGCAATATTGAAGTCAATGTCACCCTATCCATCCACTGTTTTCCTAGAGACTGATAATTTTCACATGGTGCATACTATATATGAGAAGTTAAGTTAGTGGCAAATAAGGCAGGGGACAGGCACTGAACTGACGAAAGGAACTCGCTTTTCATCATCACCTTCGATAAAAGAAAATTTTTTAAAGGATTCACCGGAGAGATACAAACACCAATATGAACCCAATGATATAAGGGATTGACACCACTCTCTACTCCAAACCTTAAGACAATGAGTTAATGGGTCTTTCATTTTTATATAGTGCTTTACTTTCTCTTTTCTATCCAATGGAAAACTTGTATTCGTACTTGAATTCCCAACACATACGAGAATGACATACACTGGGACAACTGATGTTCAAAATATAGGATAGAACACCACCTTTGATATATATATATAACCAACGTGAGAAAAATCTCAATTAAGAATTAAGATTTATATAATTCACACTATAAAAACAAATTTGTTACAGTTTTCCAGTAATGACATCTTTCAAAATAGAATTCTAAATAAGAAACATGTACCTTAACAGTTAAAATAACCAGTCAAGTCTTGTGGAAAACTAGCCTAAAAATACGAGTCATGCATTACTTATAATGCAAGTTATTCTTTTCTAATTTCTTTTTTAGTTTTATTTTATTATAGTAGCATATAGCCTATAATAGGTGTCGACTCATTTCTTTACTCATACTCAAGCCATGTTCGATAAGTGTCATGTCCAAAAAGTGCACGATCAGGCGACAGCGTATTCTACATAGATAGCGGTGCATCCTAGGTCCACAGTCCCTTCTGCAGATGCTCATGCCTGTACTTGCAAGCAATAAACAACTTTTGCGAAAACACTTGAAATAAATCCCTCCTTCAAACATACTGGCCATGCATTACATTACGAATCTAACACTCTGATGATATGAACAATTCATAACTTACATAACAAAGGTGTTCTCCCTCAAATGTATTGATATTTATGATCATGATGCCATCATTTCAAAATGAAAATAGAAACTAAGACTGCAGGACAAATGAACTGACTTTACCTCACTTAACTTTGCGGAAAGCTCATCAAGCAATTCAATGCGTCTTTTAGACTTGTCCAAAGCCTGCAACACCTTCTTCCTCTTAAAAAGCATTTCCCTTGCATAATTTTCCTCCCCCTTTTGAATGCTTATAACTGCCTGTTTTTGAAGCTTCTCTGCAGCTTCTGACAACCGCAGAAGCCTCAATCTAGCATTAGTTGCTGTTAACCACAACATATAAGTTTTGTATTAGAAAAATACTAATCACTCATTCAATTTCCCTTTCATCCAATTTCCTCTTCTTTTTTGTTTCTCTTCCTTTTTCACCACATCCCTATCTGTTACTTTGTCTTCCTATTTCTCTCTCTTTTTTTCATCCCAAATACACCCCATTTTGGGGTGCGCTTTCATAATCACTCATTAAATTAGAATAATCGTCCTCAAACTATTGGCCCGTGGCATAAACAGTTCCTAAAGTAATAAAATTGTTTAAGCAGACTCTGAAGTATTGAATATCCATCATTTCATTGCCTAAGTTGATGTATTTCAGTACAGTTCAGAAACCAATTTGGAGAAAAAATTTCGATATTTAAGGACTACACAACATTATTTTGATAACCTCTTGAGCTACCCAAGGTCCAATTGATGCACGAACCCAGTGGACAGCTTTTTCAGTTAGATTTCCTTAGGTCAGAATTGTAATGAAAAAGTGAAAAATTAAAACTTTAATCATACTCAGGGGCCTGACTGTAAAGGGTGTTTTTCAGAAAACATAAATCAGAATGAAAGTGGCAATAGCATGAAGAAAAACAATTTGAAATTGGTAGGGTTACCCTTGGCTCTGGTGGTGTCAGCCTCAGCATGAAGATGATCAATTTGAGAACGCAGTTGCTCTGTGTTGATGACAGCTGTAGAAGCAGAAGAAGAAGATGATGAAGATGCGCAGCACGTGGGCCTCCATGAAGGAACAGCCATGGCCATAGTTGTCACTCTAACACAGTACATTATCATCCCTTTCTCTCTTCCAATCTGCAACCTTATGCTTACAAACAATTTCTCATAACCAATTAGACAATTCGTAAGGACAATGCCAAATTCAATATTTAGCCACTAATTGTTTCTAATGACTGATTAGCGAAATCTATTTTGATAAGAAATTATGTAGAAAGCAAAATAAACAGGAATAAACTCTGAGATCCAAAAATAATGTGCATCTTCACTTCTTATTCAAAATCCAAAAAAAGGAGAAGACATTTTCTAATTCAAACATAAATATAAAAAATATTAATGTATCTAGTCAATTAAAAAAAATATAATCAGTTATTTTTAATGTAAATGATTTTTGATATAACTATAATTATATTTGTTATCATAAAAATAAAAATAATTAAAATAATAGATAAAATAAAATTTATTAATTTTATAATTTCATCTATTAAAATAATCATTCATCATTTATATTTATAAAAACATTCACAAATTTTTTTCTTTTTTATATTTTTCACCTATTGGTCTTTAATTCAATCAAGTTTCCTTTTACCTCATTCACTTATTTTCATTCTCCCAAATCCATTTACAATATTTATTTTCATCCTTCCAAATCCATTTACAATATTTATTTTCATTCTCCCAACTCCATTTACAGTATACTTAAAAGCACATATGGTGCCTAATAAACCTCTGAATTTATTTTATTAATTATTAATATTGTTTCTTCTTGTCAGGATAAATAAAGAATGTTAAGCAATTCAATATATGTAAAGGTTTTTATTATAAAATAAAAGTTCATAAAGTGTAAAATAATCTTGATAAAACATCTCAAATTTTAAACAAATTTGGTATTAATTTTTATCCTTTTTTTTCTTATTTTTATTATTATTTTATTGGAAAATAACTATTTATTTAAATTAGACAAAAAGCAACGATTATATTTAACTAAAATCTAAAATGTAAATCTTTATACAAATGACAAAATCTAAGTTAGCGACTTGAATACTCTTGATAAAATAATCAGTATGAAAATATGATTGAATTTACTAAAAAATACCAAATATATTTATAAAGTGTATGGTCATATGAAATTTGTTATAAAATAAAAAATAATAAAAAGTTACCATGTATATAAATATATATAATAAATCAGCATTATAAAGTTTATGAGTCATATGAAATATGTTATAAACTAAAAAATAATATAAAGTTACCATATATATAAATATGTATAATAAATCATAATAATATTAATATATTATTTAATCAAATTAACCATATATTTAGTTATTGTGTGATATAAAATGATCTTTTTAACAGTAATAAAGCTATCTATATTTAACTATATATTTTGTAAATATAGAATAATTATAATAATAAAACAAATATATTTAACACTTTTTAGTTTTAGTATGTCAATTTAATTTTTGGTGCATAATAACATTTGATCCTTACTTTTTAAAAGAAAATTTAAAAGAGATGAAAAAGAAAATATTTCTTTTAAAAAATATGTATGTTTTTTTATTTTGATTTAATAGAGAGTAATAAAGTTAAATATATTTTTAGTATTTAAAACTAAATTGTAAAGCTAAATTAACATAATAATTTTAATTTAAAAATTTTAATTTGTTTACGTATTAAATGATGTTTTAAATTAGTATTTAAAATAAAAATATCAAATAGAATAAATAATTTAAATGTAATCTAAAATATAATTTAATAAAATAAAAAATTTCACGTAATTAGATTAAAGGAAAATTTTATTTATTTATTTTCAAAATTTAAAAATAAAAATATATCAACTTTTAACCTAAAGACAAATTTTAATTGTATGTATAAATATAAAAACTAAAAATGTATTTAAAATCTAATATTTATATTAAGTTTTAGGTCATAGTGATGTTTAGGCTAATGAGGTAATAATAAAAATGTCTAATACCCTTTTGTTGAGAAAGAAATATTGGAAGCAAAAGAACACAAAAGATTTCAAATCTAGATACAGGAAAGAGAATCATATCCTATAAAGATTTGTTGCTTTTAGGAGGAATTGAAGGAAAACATTGAAGATGATACATACAATGATATAAGTTAACATTGTACCACTGAATGAATGTGAGCAAGTCCAATCCAACCAAAAGCACTCAATTATGTCAACAATTTCATGCTCTCTGTCAAACAAACAACCCTAATCATCAACCCAGCAAATCCTCCTTCCCATCCAATTTCTTGTCAACAAAACTAATATATTTTATCAATTATTTAAATAATTCATAAATAACCAAACACCATATCATTACAGCTAGAAAATACTTTCATTTTATTTAAACTCTTCGTCTTTTTAACATAATATATATTTGTGAAGGTAAAATAATTCATTCGATCCAATCCAATCCGACTCGAATTGATCTCTTAGTAAATTAATTTAATAAATTAATAATTTCAAATATTATCCAATTCATTATAAGTTGGTGAAAAATGAATTGATAAACTAACTTACTTAATGTAAGTTTTTCAGATTTAAATAAATTTAATTTAAAATAATGTTAAATTTTAAAGAATATATATATATAATACAATTCAAATATTATCTAAAATTATTTTAAACTTTAAATATAAACACAAAAACTAAATTAATGGGTTAATAAACCAACCTGAATTACCACATATCAACACGAAGAATTAACTTCTTAGTGAATCGATTCAAAATTTAATTATATCAAAATTTCAATTTTTTTATTTAACTCAATTAGGGTTTTGACTCTCAGATTATAACCA